TAATAATAATAATAATAATAATAATAATAATAATAATAATAATAATAGAGCAAAGCACGAAAAGGAAAATAAATGAGTGAAACTGATAAGATTGACATTCCTTTCCATTTTTGTATCGTCTACGTTGAAGAGCAGGGTGTGGTTTTCATTAATCCTGAGACATATATAAAAGCCAGTTACGACCACTTGGACCTCAGATAAGTCTCTCTTGACCTCATTACTTGTGGAAAATATATCCGGAACTGCAGCGAGGATTTCAGAGCATGTTTTCGGTATTATAAAGCGTCGAAAGCGGAATTAAACCCGGGTTTTCTTCGATTTTCAATAAATCCATTAGGTAGATGCGTTCTTTTTGAATCGGCCACAATTTTTCTTGCTCTACGACTCATGAAATAAGACAGAATGCGCGCGGCCAGAATGCGGAAAAAGCTATTCGTACGGGAACGCTTGCTTCGATGGCTAAGCTCCGTTCAAAAGGAGTAACCTTTCACGCGAGAGGTAAAGAAAAGTGTAGCGTAATTCGTCAATAAAAGACGGGGTGGTACAGTTCCTGTAAAAATAAATTCACCATCTTGTTTCACGTTCAAGTTGGTGGCGCCCGTCGTCAGGTAAGACATCAGGAGGAAGAATCAGTCATTTTGAAAATCGGACGGTTAAAAGGGTGGATTATAGTGCCGTGCCCTTTCTAAAATCATTCTAAAAACGCTGAAATCGGAGACTAAGGTACAATATCAAGCTTGCCATGTTTTTGCAGGTAACAAACGCATCAGGTTTGAAGAATTTCTGCCAATCTTCCTTACCGAGAAACAGAGATCCAAACCAGTCAGCGCTCAACAGTTCATTGAAACTCTAAGCGTGTTTGACAAGGACAACGCGGGAAGAGTCGCTTCTGGTGAAATGCGTCATGTGTTAACCTCGCTAGGTAAGATGTATGGGTTATTGACCAAGTGTGAGGTCAAGATGGCTGGATATTGGCCAAGTTCTTTTTTTGNAGCAGGGTGTGGTTTTCATTAATCCTGAGACATATATAAAAGCCAGTTACGACCACTTGGACCTCAGATAAGTCTCTCTTGACCTCATTACTTGTGGAAAATATATCCGGAACTGCAGCGAGGATTTCAGAGCATGTTTTCGGTATTATAAAGCGTCGAAAGCGGAATTAAACCCGGGTTTTCTTCGATTTTCAATAAATCCATTAGGTAGATGCGTTCTTTTTGAATCGGCCACAATTTTTCTTGCTCTACGACTCATGAAATAAGACAACATAACGCAAGAACATCGTCAATAATGATGATTTCAACAGTGGATCTCCTTGTAATCACCTTCGATCCCTTACAAGGATTTATTGGATCATAAAATGGACCCTTTTCCACCCATCATCTTCGGAATTGCTGAACGATCGTAAATTACTGCAGAGGTGAAAACCAAACACCAGTGTGATGACCTGTTTATCGTGCCGCGCTTCCCTAGCAATTAACCTTACAAGAGAGTCGTAGTTTGCTGTTGTCCGTAAACCGTAAACCGTAAACCGTAAACCGTAAACCGTAAACACTCCGTGCCTCGCATCTTACGAAACTAGAGCGTAATCCGTATAATGTGTTGTACGAAAAGCTCCGCCTAGTCTGCGTAGCAAGGGTTCCCATACGGAAAGCTTTTACCGCATTCTGGCGGCGCGGCAATTTGGAGAGCAGAAAAATCGATTACCCCTGATTTGTCGGGTTGTTTTTTT